TTCGTAACAAAATTTCAGAAAAAAATTGATAAATTGAAAAATTTCAAAAAATTGATAAAAACGGCTTAAAATCTAGTCAAATATCCTTGTTCTAGTCGGTAAATTTCATTTTGGAACGAGGGGTCACACTTTAGCTTTCTTCCGCTGTCAAAAAATTGACAAAATGGTCTAAAACACTTTTTTCAGCACTACTGACTTCACTTTTATGTGAAAGCAGCTATTTTCTCACTTCTTGTCATCCAAAGAGAAAAGAAACAATTTAGTAATGATAATTGATAACATTATCATTACCCAAAGGAATCCTGTTTGACCGATAAGTAAACAACATTAACATTCAACAAAATTCTCATTTAGTTTCATCAAAACTGCAAAATGTGGCTATTTTCCTCAGCGTTTCTCCATTTCATAATAATTGGAGCCATCGAAGCTGCAACTCCTGGTAAATAAATACCCCAAAACCAAACAAAACCTTAATCTAGTTTTACAGTTTTGGAATTCAAGCCCACACCAGCCCAAAACGACTCGGGTTTAATCTGGTTTGTGTTACAAAATCGCACCTCTTCTCAGCGTTACATCGACGATTTGAATGAATTCCTGAAAAGTAAGTTGATAAAAAGTTGTGATAAAATCACTTGAAATTGTTAGGTTACAAGGAGCCAAAACCAGCAAATGTGCAAAATTGTGACAGGGAGACACCTCCAGAAAACCACGTTTGTGATGTCAGAATTGAGGATTTGGCCCCCTGTGCCAGAGCAGATGATTATTATTTTTATCGCGGACAAGTTTGTGTTTTCCTGAAATTAAGAAATGTATGACACGGCAATTTTTGTTTTTTTTTTTCAAAATTATTTCCAGGTTTCGAATTGGGTTCCTGAGTTTTATAATAGCACAAATTTGCCCTCCGATATGCCCCTCTCTTTAAAAGAAACTATAAGGAAGGACGACGAAAAAGGAATTGTAATATTTGAAAAAATTAAATTAAGAAAAGTGATAAACCAATTTTAGCCTCCAAAAATTTGGGTGACTTGTGACGGAGAAACTGCAGCCGATAAAGAGATGATTGGTGCTTTAGATTACAAACCTTGGCGGGGTTTTTCTCACCAATATTTTCCCGTCATCAATGCTAAAAATTATCTCAGTCCTTTGGTCGCTGTTCATTTTCGAAGACCACAATGTTAGTAATTTTACTTTTCATACATCTACTAATTTAGTTTTTCAGTCGGGGTTCTGATTAATGTGGAATGCACAGCGTGGGCAAAAAATATCCCAAGAAAAAATAAACAAGGAATTGCCCGATTTGGACTACTACTCGAAGACATTGTTTACTGAATTATCGAGAGGTCAAATGTTATCAATGTATTTTAGTTTGTGTTGAACAAGAGAAATTAAAACTGTTTTTTCTGTAATCATGCGAATAATTTATTTGTTTCTTTTAATTTCGGGCACTACATGTTGCCAAAGCCGCTGGAATAAAAACAAAAATCCAGGTAAATCCCCCACACATTTTTTTTTACTCCAACTTGTAATCTTCAGCTCTGGAACTGAGACCTTCGACAAAAAGTGACCTCATTTGGTTCAAACCAACTGACGAAAGACGCCAAAATTACAAAAACGACTTGAATAATTTACTCAAACGTAGGGAAATTTGAGATTTTGAAATTAAGTTGGCAACATTGAATTATTTTATGATAGTCACTGTTGCCAGCTTAATTTCAAAGCCGACTTTGATGAATTAATTAAATCATGACTTTTAGGATATAATACTAAATTGCCAAATGTGGTTCAATGTCTGCCACACCAATCCCCTCCACCAACCAAAGTCTGTGATTTTGATATTGGCACGCACATGACTCCATGCGTGCCAGAATTTGGTTTTGGGTACGATTCTGGTACACCTTGTGTATTTCTAAAACTAAGAAATGTGCCAAAGTGGAGACCTGTGCTTTATAATACCACCAATATGCCGTCAGAAATGCCAATTTTTTTAAAAGAAACCATCTCAAGACTTGAATTGAGAGGAATGGTAGTATTGAAATAAAACGTAGAATGATACATAAAAAAATTTCAGCATCAAAATATTTGGGTGAGTTGTGATGGTGATAATGCAGCTGATAAGGAAAACATCGGGCCGTTAAGATATTTGCCTTTGAATGGTTTTCCAAGCCAGTATTTTCCCTATAACGGCGATAAGGGCTATCTTGACCCTTTAGTAGCCCTTCATTTCGAACAACCGGCGCGTAAGTAACACTAAGTTGAAAATGTATATGTTGCCATATACATTAAATTGGCAACACGAACACAAAACATAAGTGCCAACTCAAATTCAGACATTAAGTTGGCAACTTGTATACAAAAAACGGTTGCCAAGTCAAATTCAAACACTAAGTTGGCAACATGGTACGAAATATGTTGCCCACTCAAATATAAAAAAAAATCATCATAAAAAAATATTTTGTAGGTGGTGTTTTGATTAATGTGGAGTGCACCATTTGGGCGAAAAATATACCACGTGACCGGGAAAATAATCTAGGGCATGTGCACTTTTCGTTGTTGGTAGATTAAGTTTATCATAAAAAATGTAAAAAAACGATAATAAAAACTTTGTTTATCCCTGATTTTTTTTCTTTCAAGCCTTAGTGGTGAATCAGTTTTGCAGTTGGTATTTCGTAAAAATACGTCGAAAATTTAACATTTTCGTTTAATAAATGTTGTTTTTCCGTTTTGGCAAAGATTTAAACTAAAGACTGATCAAAGGTCATCTAATTATAGAACATAAGATTAAAAATGCTCTAATTTCATATCCGGACGTTGTGAGTAGTGTTAAAAATGAAGTTTTCCGCAAAAAGACTTGGTATGAATTATTTTTTATCCCCAATAAATAATTTTTTCACCCCACAGGCAAACTGTTGCTGTTTTATTCAATTTTCTACACAATTCTAGGTGTTTTCACCGCTACAATGTTTGTAATTTGTCTCAAAACCCTGGGTGATAACGCCCCGAAATGGCAACTGGATCAGTCTTTGATTGGAAGCAATCCAGGTTCGGAAAAATTACTAAAATTTAGTTATTTATTATTTTTCCAGTTCTAAGTCTCAAACCATCGTTTTCTGACAACATAATTGTGTACAAAACTAATGATTCAAGAGGGATTTCTCTTTTAACACAACAATTGGATATTTTTTTGGCTCGTATGTTGCGACAAAAGTTTAAACAAAAATTAAAAAAAAAATTGCAGCGTATTTTCCCAATAAAAAACACGAAAATGTTCAAGAGTGTAAAAATTCGCCTAATGAAGGAAAAGTTTGTGATTTTGTAATCGATGAACGTTTTAGTCCCTGTACTCGCCAAATGAATTACAGTTACGGAAGTTCTGATAGAGGACCTTGCATCTTCCTGAAACTGCAAAAAGTGAAAAAAAATTTTTTTTCTTCAAATTCAAATAATTTCTTTGCAGATATTTGGATGGAAGCCTGAACTCTACAACAGCACTAATTTACCAAATGAAATGCCACAATATCTACAACACTTGATAAAGACTACTAGAAGACCAGACACTGTTAGTGGAACAAAAGAAACAAATTTTTGTTAATTTTCAGTTTTCAGCTGAATAAAATTTGGTTAACTTGCGAACCACAAGATCTGGAGGATGCTGAAAATATTGGCCCTAGAATGTTTTTTCCTGAAATGGGTTTCCACGGAAAATATTTTCCATTTAGGAACGCTGAAGGATATTTGAGCCCTGTGGTGGCGGTTTTTTTTGAACAACCCAAACGTAATCACCAAATAATTATTATTCTATCACTAAAATTTCGTTTCAGGAGGTGTGTTGATCAAAGTGGAGTGTAAAGTGTGGGCAAGAAATATTCACCACGATCTGAAAAATAACAAAGGAGTTATCCGTTTTGGATTATTAATAGACTAAAATTAGATTTTTGAAACACAAAAAATGTAAAAAAATAATAGTGTAATAAAAACTAAAATTCTTGGCAAAAGTGTTTTGCACGCTTTATTATTATCAGAATTTCAGTTGTTACCGGTTTGGGCTTGCAATGTCTGAGATTAAAAAAAAAAACATGTTCCGATTGAAAGCACTCTAATCTGGTTTTGATCCGATATTTCTGATAAAAATATTTGTAATTTTTTTAATTTGATTAATTTTTTGACATTCATAAAGTGGTGTTTGGGGGCAAAAACTAAATGAAAAGGACTTTTTTATCTAATTGTTTGTTTTCACGTCAAAGCAATTAATAATAGAGTGTTGACAAAGTCAATAAAAATGGCTTAAAAATTAATTTTAAGTAAATTTTTGATTAAAGTAGTGCGTAACTTTGAATTAAGGTTGGCAACACTGAATAAAAGACAGTATTGCCAACTTAATTTCAAATAACAGGCCACTCTGATAAAAATTTAATATTTATTAAAACATTTTTCTATTCTTTTGTAAATAAACAACGAACATGTCTAGACATATAAAGCACAGATCATTTTATTTTTTGTTATTCCATAACACAAATTAATTAAGAAGTAATTAGATAATTAAGTGTATGTCATGAACGGAAAATCTTTTATTATTAATAATAATTTAATTAATTAACCATAATT